GGCGACACTCCTGAACTTCCCCTTCGGCCACGCCCCGGGGGCTGACGGCGCGGGGCCGCCGCAGCCCTCCTCCTCATTCGGCCGGCGCTGCCCTCCTCGCCCACGATGCTCATACCCCCTGTCGAGTGCCCACTGCGAGGAGCGCAGGACCGGCGACAGGGCCCGCGGCCACAAGAAGTCGAAGCCAACTGCGAGGCCCGACACCTGGACCCCATCACAGAGGCGCCCGAAGGCGCTACGGCGCCTTCCGCCAGACAGGCACGCCCGTGGCCTCCTTCCGACCTTCCGCACATGATGCTATTTTATCCTCCTAGCCTTGCTCCCCCTTCCTCTCCCTCGGCGTGCGCCCGTGGCATAGGCACACCCACCATATGAGGGGCCAAGTAGATGGCGGGGGGTGGGGGCGTGGAGGAGAGGAGGTCATGGAGGCAAGGGGGGTCCGACGTGATGGGTGCGACGCTGCGGCAGGCCTGGACAACCGAGTCCGCGCAACCAGGGCAAGATTACATAATAAGGAAGCCAGGGAAGTGCAAGCCAACCCGAGGCGATGGTACAAGCCGAACGAACGAGGACTCCTGTCCACACCCGCCGGGCTGGGGCAACGCACGTGCACGTGTCTCGGAGGCTCCCAGGCCACTGTGTTGATGCGGAGCTACACTGTCAATGCCTCGCTGTCCCGGGGCTTTGCTGTGTTCTTGTCTGCTGGAGCATCCGATACGCGTGCGGAATTACATTCTCAATGCCATGCTGTCCTGTGGCCTTGTTGCGTTCCTGCTCTGAACGCACACAGACAGCCTGAGGTGTCGGAGGATTTAAGAGATCCATCCACCAGATGGTCGTCTAAGCCCAACTCGAGGTGAAGCTGAGGTGGGTCCCCCTCCCCACGGTAGAGTGAGCCGTAGGCCCGACCTCGCTCGACGAGGGCAGACGGCACCCAGGGAGCGGGGCCCCTTCTTCTATGCTTCCCACTACTTCCCTACCTAGGCTCTGCCTAGAAGGGTTCTTACTCTCTATCTTACAGGGGCCGGGAAGTGGAACTCGCCCCGGGCGGTTCCCCCGGTCCCCTGGGAGCGGTTCCCCCAGTCCCCTGGGAGCTTTAGCTTTAGCTTTGGCTTTAGCTTTAGCTTTAGCTTTAGCTTTAGCTTTAGCTGTAGCTTAGCTTTAGCTTTAGCTTAGCTTTAGCTTAGCTTAGCTTTCGCTTAGCTTTAGCATAGCTTTAGCATAGCTTTAGCTTAGATTTAGCTTAGCTTTACCTGAGCTTTAGTTTTAGCTTAGCTTTGGCGTAGGTTTACCTTAGTTTACCTTAGTTTTAGTTTAGATGTAGTTTTGGGTTAGCTTAACTGTAGCTTAGACTTAGCTTGAATTTAGCTTAGCGTTAGCTTAGCTTTAGCTTAGCTGTACCTTAGCTTTAGCTTAGCTTTAGCTTAGCTGTACCTTAGATTTATCTTAGCTTTACCTTAGCTTTAGCTTAGCGTTAGCTTAGCTTTATCTTAGCTTCAGCTTAGCTTTAGTTTAGCTTTATCTTAGCTTTAGCCTAAATTTAGCTTAGCTTTAGCTTAGCTTTAGCTTAGCTGCACCTTAGTTTTAGCTTAGCTTTAGCTTAGATGTGGCTTAGCTTTAGCGTAGGTTTAGCTTAGCTTTAGCTTAGCTTTAGCTTAGCTTTAGCTTAGATTTACTGTTACTACCAATGCTGTTTTCCTAGGGGCTCCAACTCCTAGGTAGGGTCGCACTGGGATACTTTGATATACCATCCCCAGTGGCGAAGGGATGATGATGACGACGACGATGATGATGATGATGCTGCTGCTGATGATGATGCTTCCGCTGCAAAAGCTATGCCGAAGCAGCAGTAGTGGGCAGTGACGTGTAAGAGCTCGGCGGGGACTTCGCACAACCCCCGCTGTACGCTTGCTGTGCTGACCGGGTTCGAGCCTGAGGGCCACGGAACAAACAATACAACAAAGCTGCTCTTGCGCAGAATGAGCTGCTGCTTTAGTTGATCAACCTCCCGCAGTGGCGAGGGGGCGGGGTAGGAGAAAGCCACCGAAGGGCGCCAACCAGTGGCGGCGGCGGACGACGTCGACTTCCCGAGCGCGGCGCTCGGCGAGGGAACGCCGCTCAGGTCGTTCAGGCTCCCGTCGGTCTCGGGGCTCCACGGCACGCCGCTCTGGATCTCCCTGCGCAGGGCTCGCTGCCGCCGTCGTCGTCGTCGTCGTCGTTGTCGTCGTCGCCTCGGCCGTCGTCGCCTCCTCGTCGTCGGGGTCGTCGTCGTCGTTGTCGTCGTCGTTGTCGTCGTCGTCGTCGCCGCCGTCGCCGCCGCCGTCGTCGTCGGCCTCCTCGTCGTCGGGGTCGTTGTCGTGGTCGTCGTCGTCGCCGTCTTCGCCGTCGTCGTCGCCGGGGTCGTCGTCATCGTCGGCGCCGTCGGTGTCGTCGTCGTCGTTTTCGTCTTCGTCTTCGTCTTCGTCTTCGTCGTCGTCGTCATCATCGTCGCCACCGCGGCCGCCGCTGCTGCCACCGCCAACGCCGCGGCCGTCAACGGCGTCGTCGTCGCAGACGCCGTCGTCGTCGTCGTCATCGTCGTCGCCACCGCGGCCGCCGCTGCCGCCGCCGCCAACGTCGCCGCCGTCGGCGTCCACGTCGTCGGGGTCGTCGTCGCCGTCTTCGTCATCGTCGGTGTGTTCGTCGTCGTCTTCGTCGTCGTCAGCGTCGTCGTCGGCGTCGACGTCGTCGGGATCGTCAGCGTCGCCGTCGCGTCGTCGACGTCGTCAGCGTCGTCTCCACCGCTGCCGCAGTCGCCGCCGCCGCATTTGGCGCCCTCGTCGTCGAGGTCGCCATCGTCGTCGTCGTCGTCGTCGTCGTCACCGCGGCCGCCGCCGCCGGCGGCGTCCTCGTCGTCGGGGTCGTCGTCGCCGTCTCCGTCGTCGTCGCCGTCTTTGTCGTCGTCTGCGTCGTCGTCATCGTCCTCATCGTCGCTGCCGCCCCCGCCACAGCCGCCGCCGTCGGCGTCGACGTTGTCGTCGTCATCGCCGTCGCCGTCGTCGATGTTGTCTTCGTCATCGTCGGGGTCGTCGTCGTCGTCTTCGTCGTTGTCTTCGTCGTCGTCGTCGCCTTCGTCTTCGTCTTCGTCTCCGTCGTCGTCGTCGTCGTCGCCGCCGCCGTCGCCGCCGCCGTCGTCGTCGGCCTCCGCGTCGTCGGGGTCGTCGTCGTCGTCGTCGTCATCGTCGTCGTCGTTGTCGTCTTCGCTGTCGTCGCCGGGGTCGACTTGGTCGTCGTCGGCGCTGTCGTTGTCGTCGTCGTCTTCGTCGTCGTCGCCTTCGTCGTTGCCACCGCGGCCGCCGCTGCCGTCACCGCCAACGCCGCCGCCATCAACGGCGTCGCCATCGTAGCCGCCGTCGTCGTCGTCGTCGTCGTCGTCGTCGTCGTCGTCGTCGTCGACGTAGTCGTTGTCGTCGTCGCCACCGCGGCCGCCGCCAACGCCACCGCCAATGCCGCCGCCGTCGTCGTCCTCGTCGTCGGGGTCGTCGTCGCCGTCTTCGTCGTCGGTGTCTTCGTCGTCATCGTCGGCGTTGTCGTCGTCGACGTCGTCGTCTCCACCGCTGCCGCAGTCGCCGCCGCCGCATTCGGCGTCCTCGTCGTCGAGGTCGTCGTCGGGGTGGTCGTCGCCGTCGTCGTCGTCATCGTCGTCGTCGTCGGCGTCGCCGCGGCCGCCGCCGCCGGCGTTTTCGTCGTCGGGGTCGACTTCGTCGTCGTCGCCGTTGCCGTCGCGACCGCCGTCGCCGACGCCGTCGCCATCGCCGCCATCGTCGCCGTCGCCATCGCCGTCGTCGTCGTCGTCGTCGTCGTCGTCGTCGTCGCCGTTGTCGTCGTCGTCGTCGTTGGCGGCGGAGCGGCGGCAGCGGAGTCGCCGCCACCTCCACCGCCGCCACCGTCGATGTCGTCGTCGTCGTCGGGGTCGTCGTCATCGTCGTCGTCGCTGCCGCCCCCACCACAGCCGCCGCCGTCGGCGTCGACGTCGTCGTCGCCGCCGTCGTCGTCGTCGGCGTTGTCTTCGTCGTCGCCTTCGTTTTCGTCTTCGTACTCGTCTTCGTCGTCGTCGTCGCCACCGCGGCCGCCGCTGCTGCCGTCGCCAACGCCGCTGCCGTCAACGGCGACGACGACGACGGCGACGACGACGACGACGACGAAGACGAAGACGAAGACGACGACGATGGCGACGGCGACGGCGATGACGATGGCGATGGCGACGGCGACGCCGCCGCCGTCGTAGCCGCCGTTGCCGTCGTCGTCGTCGCCGTCGTCGTCGTCGTCGTAGCCGCCGTCGTCGGCGTCGTCGTCGCCGTGGTCGTCTTCGTCGTCGCCGCCGCCGCCGTCGGCGTCATCGTCGTCGTCGTCGTCGCCGCCGCCGTCGGCGTCCTCGTCGTCGTCGTCGACGTCGCCGTCGTCGTCGTCGTGGTCGCCGTCGTCGGCGCTGGCGTTGGCGTCGGCGCTAGCGCCGCCGTCCTCGTCGTCGTCGTCGTCGTGGTCGTCATCGTCGTCGTCGTGGTCGTCGTCGTCCTCGTCCTGTGATGCCACTGCACCCTCCGATCCAGGCTCAGACCTCTGCCCTTACGGGCTCGTTGCCAGGCCAGGAAGACATCTCCGCCGAGGCCTGGAGTGGAAGCGCGAGCTCGCGGGGGACGCCATGGACGGCCGGCGGACACGGCAAGCTCTTTGCCTCGACGTCCAGTCGTGAGCGACCTCCGCCCCTGGGAGGTCCTCGGCCGCGATCGGCGCTCGCTCCATACCCCTGCCAATGCCTTCCTACCCTGGGGCGCCAGGTGCAGCAGCGTATGGATCAAAAGCCGGGCCTCGGAGGCCAAGGCTCTACCCACATCCCCGCTCTGGCCCCCCGTGGGGTCGGAGCGAAAGCGGGGGCATGATGAAACTTCGAGCGCCCAGTTCGGGAGCCTGCCCGACCTCATCCCGTCCGCATGGACTTCGCGCCGCGGGCTGCTTCCTCTGGGCCTCAGGGCCCAGTACGGGCCCCGGATGGTGTTCAGCCTTGAACGCCCGCGCTGGCGTCGCCGCCGCGTCCAAAGAAGAAGAATAAGAAGAAGAAGGATAAGAATGGTAATAAGAATAAACGTAAAATGATAGTACTAATCATATCCACGATCATGATAATATCAGGTAAACTGCTACATTCGGTGGGGAACATTTTTGCTACCACGCGCAACTCGTCTAGGCGAAGTTTGAGACGCATCAGAGGCCTGGCGACAGAGGCAAGAGAGGGGGAGAACAGGGCGGGAGGGAAACGAAAAAGGCTATGGAGTCCCAGGGCCCCCCCCCCAGTTTAACCGGTTCGTTTTGCAATGACACACCAAGTCATTCCGCTCACAACCTTCCCGTACACGCACTGACAGGTTAACTGCTACATTCGATGGGGAGCATTTTTGCTACCACGTGCCACCGCGAAGCTTGGGACGCATCAGGGGCCCAAAATCCCAAAGGGTTCACTGGGAGGGCGAGGAGGGCTATAGAAAAACAGCCGCTTCAAGGTCCTTTTGGCGGCTCAGCAAACTTTTCACCATGCAGCGGCTATTTTTGGTGGGTACGACGCGGCGAGGGAAGTCCACGTGGCCCCGGATGGGGCCTTGCCTTCAAGGACGACGCGTGGTTTCCCCGGGGCCAAGCAAATCCCTTTAAAACTGCGGCAACGCCTATCCAGTATCCAGTTTAAGGTGTCCTGGGGGTCAACGCCGAAAAACAAACACTTCGCACGCTTTCCCCAACGGACCCCGAACTGACACTGAACACAGATCCTATAGTGCATGCTACGGTGACTCGGTAGACGCTTCAACTGTTGTGTGTGTGTGCCAAATGCGACTTTTGATCTGATGTTATAACACAAAAGGCGCGCCTGCTCTTACGAGACACCTCATCAAAGTCAGAGCAGCTAAGAAGAGGCAGCGATGACCTCACCACGAGCGATAGCCTTTCGAATTCGACAGATCACTTGCGGGCGCGTAAGATCCTCATCAGGCCCGTTCTGGCGGTCGAAACCGCGATGGATAAAACCCCGCCTGAGGGCGGCTTGTCCCATCGAATCTGAGCCAGAAAACACAACTATAATGTACTTACGTCGGCGGCCTTGTCGCCTCACTGGGTAGTCAACTCGGCACCTCTTCCGCGCGGCATGTTCTCGAGTCGATGTGCGCAGTCGCTCAGAGTGTCGCGCGGCAGGGCGGGCGGCGGGGCTCGCGACTGACCTAGCAGAGCCGCCTTCTTGCATCCCTGCGCTGACTTGGCACGCTTCCACTGACCCCTTTTTCGATATCTCCTCGAGCGCCCTGCAGTGCCTGGCCAAGTCTAAGCTTGGATCGGAGTGTTGAGCTGGGCATGGAATGATGTGCTGCTACACGCCCAGGCCCTGCAGCGCCATCCAAAATATGTTCAGGAACTGTGGGTGGCTGAAATCCCACACTTTTCCTCCGTGAGCACCTTGCGCGGGCTCGCGCAAGACGGGCGCGGCACGCTGAACCCAGTCGCTGCCCAGCATCACCCCTGCATCCGCCCGCCCCGCCACACTGCGCAGCGGCTTGCTGTCTGGGAAGAGGGGCAGCGATCACCAGCGGCACACCTCTGGCGCTGGCGCAATGGCGCTGCTCTGCGCCAGGGAGAGCAGGCGACTCGGCCCGAAGTCGCCCCGCACCGCGGCGAGCAGAAGGATGTCCATTTCCAGCGCACCACGCGCCACCATGCGCCACGCCAGCCCGCGCCAGAGGGCCAGCGGCCAGGCCCGGCGGCTCCGCACAGGCGCCAGCGCGCGCCAGCCCCGGAGGCAGCGCCAGGCCCGCGGCGTCTCGGACTCGGAACACTGACTGGGCGATGCGACGGACGCCCATCACTGGCGCCCCGGCCTCCATGATGAGGATGAACCCCTCGAACCTCCAGCGCTGCACCTGCTTCGCGCACCAGCGGACGCTTGCGAGCCCCGCCGCGGGCACCTCCGGGAAGCCAGGGTCGACCTCCCAGGCAGCGTCGAGCTCCGCGTCGTCGTCCGCGCTGGCCAGCCGCCACTCGCCGCCGTCGCCCCCCCAGAAGCCCGCCACCACCAGCGCGGCCTCTCGGGCGCCCCGGCGGGCCGCAGGGAGGCCACCGCCCTCGGCCGCCAGCGGCCCTGCGGCGACCTCGCGGAAGCGGGCCCTATCCTGCACGCGGCCCGTCTCGGCCACCACACTGCGGGGCCAGCGCGTGGTCGACGCCGCTCCTGCCTCCAGGCTGCCGTCGGCGGCCGCCACCAGCTCGTTCCACTGCAGCGCCCAGTCGCTCTCCAGGAAGATCAGCAGCCCGCGGAACACCTCCAGCTCCACGCGGGTCTCGGGCCAAAGCGTCGCGGGCGTGGCGAAGAACTTTCTCGTGAAGGCATAGGCCGCGTGGAGGACGCCGAGAGCGCCGCGCGCCAGCAGCCCGGCGTAGGCGCAGTGGCCCACGAGGACCTGCACGGCCCAGCCTGTCAGACGACGTCTGCGCAGTTGACCGCTGATCGCCTGTCTGATCAGCCAGAAGCGCTTCTGAGCGACCCTCGCCCTCCAGCGGGGCCCCGAAACCTCGGCACCAAAGGTCTCAGCCTCCATACTCACGGAGCCCCCATGCACAGCAACACCTGCTCGTCGAAACCTCGGGCGAGCTGCCGCGCTGCGTCAGAGACCAAGGGCTCCGAGGTCGAGGCGACGCCGAGGTTGTCCACGCAGCCGCAGTGGGCGGCGTGGCCGTCGGGGATAGTCGGCCCAAAGACTGGCGGCCCAGCTCGGTCCGTCAGAGGACTATGCGCCAGACGGGGGCAGATCTCCATCACCTTGCTTTCGTCGATGCGCTGCGCTGCCCACGGGCCCCAAGTGAAGCCCATCGGACAGACACCCCAGCAGGGGCTCACCAGGTCGCGCCGCCCCAGCGGGCGGCCCTCCAGAGTTGCACCTCGACGCCCAGGATCGGCGAGCCAGTCCGGGAGCCGCGGGCGGCGGAAGCCGTCCTTGACGTCCGCGAGACCCAGGTGGAGGTTCCAGCCCTGCAAGAGCTGCTGGGCCTCCGGGCCCCAAGGGCCCACGCCCTCGGGCAGGGCGAACTCCACTCGGCTGCAGCCCTCCGCACAGAGGGGCGCCACGCCAGGCGGCGCGTCGAAGAGCTCGCCGGCGGGCCGCGCGTCCAGGATGAGGCGCAGCCGCTACCCATTCATTGTCCTTCTCCACGATGGAGAGGCCCACCTGACAGCGGGGGCGGCGCGCCCATCTCAGCAGGCCACGGCGCCGAAGGTCAGCGACAGAATGACGATATGTCTTGGCGCCCCGCCTGGGCGCCGGGTCGAAGTACGGCATCACAGTTGGCGCCAGGCTTCCGTTGCGCAGCATGCGCTCGGGGTGCTCCTGCAGGAAGCGCAGGACCTCGGGGGGGGCCACGTCCTCAAACGGCGGGCATCCCTCCACTGTCTCGGAGAGCGAGACGAGGTCCTTTCTGAAGGGCGCGACGCGGGTGAGGCAGCCCGTCCCATCGCACGGCGCATGCCCTCGCAACAGCCCGCGGACGGCCGCGCGTTCGCTGAGAGCGTCTGGACCTGGGTACCGCCGCGAGGCTAACTCACAGATCCGCTCCAAAACCTCGAGCTGCATCGAGTCGGGATCGAAGTGCGTCAGCCCGTTCCGAAAGCCCGCCAGCCAGTTCAGTGCGCCCACCGCCTCGTCGCCCATTTTCGGCGCCAGCCGCTCGCGCCGCCAGAGGGCACGACCTGGGATGGAGTCGCCATCCGGCGGACTGGGCAGGCGCCAGCGAGGCAGCGGGAACAGCTCCCTGGTCACGCGCGAGGCGGCAAGCCGACCCCGCTCCACCCCTGCATCCTGGCCGGGGACGGGGCCCCCCCCGACCGCGGGGACCGTCATGGCCCCATTGGGGGGGCATCGGCTCCCCCCCGGCCTTCCTTCTCGGCGGTGGCTGCCCTGGCCTGCCCCTCCCATCGGCAGCGGCGCCCTCCTCCTCGGCCTGGGTCCACTGCGGCCCCTTCCCGACGGCGAGCACCGACTGGGCCCCGTGCTGCTCCTTGATATTCCTGGCGACGGCGAGCAGCATCGCCCGACCCGCGAGGTCGTCCGAGGACGCCGCGCCCGAGCCAAGCCGTGAGCGTCCCCAGACGGGCTTGACGGGGCCTGAGCACACCGCCACCAGGCCAGCCGCTCGTCGCGCCGCCGCCTCGAGGCACATCAAGCCGCCCGAGACCACCTGGTCATACAAGGCCCAGTAGAGACTGCCGCACCACATCTTCAACTCGTGGACGACCCTGTCGTTCTCCCCCGAGCCTAGTGACCTCAGGAAGTCGCGAAGCCACCGCCGCGGATCCACGCTCGTGCAAGAGCCGGTCCGATCCACTGTGGTGCCGACGGTGGCGCTCGCGGTCGGCTCGGCTACCACCCAGATGCGGTCGTCCGCCAACGGAGCAGGCGGCGGCTCCCCCCGTAGACGATGTGCTCCTGGACTCGGCTCGCGGCCGAGGAGGCCGGCCCGGGCGAAGAGCTCGCCGTCGGCGGTCTCGACCTCCAGCGGCTCCACGGGTGCGATGCCAGGGAGCCGATCCTCGCACATCGCTCGGCCGCTCTCGATGGCAGCCCGCAGCTCGGCGTGCGTCGGCGGCGCCCTGGAGAGGTAGATCGGGCGCGGCCGACCTGCCAGGCCACCGTTGTCCGCGGGCATCACGGCGGCCCCCTTGGGGCCCGAGACGGGGCCAGCGCCAGTGAAGTCATCCTCGTATCCGTCAGCGTCTGGCGCCCACGCAGCCCAGATGCCGGGCGGCAGGCTCGGGTCGAGGAGGACCCGCTCGTGGTCGGCGGGGTCGTCACTTGTAGCGGACCGCTGGCCGGGCACCAGGCACCTCCAACACACCAGCCCCGCGACGCGCAGGAGCGACGCCATCCCTCACGGACGCGTGTCTCCGCAGCCCCACTAGCTCCACCGCACCAGCGCCGCGCGCAGCGGCCCGCCTCCGGCAGCAGCGCCACCAGCAAGCCAGGGGCCGCCGCCAGGAGGGGACCCACGGTGTCCTCCTCCGCCACCGCCGGCGCGGGATCCACCAGCGGGCAGACCTCGGACGCCGCCGGGCAGGCGGGCGCCTCGGGGCAGGGCGGGCAGGCCTCGCCCGGGTCCTCGGGCGGCAGCCACGCGGGCGGGCACACGGCCTCCAGCGCACAGGGCGGGAGGGCTGATGGCGAGCCTGGGAACTGGAGTGGGCGCGAGGCCAGGTGCAATCCTAGGGCGAGGACCGCCCAGGGTCCAAGAGGCACCTGGGCCATTCGAACCGAAGAAGGCTATGGAGTCCCAGGCCCCCCCCCAGTTTAAACGGTTCGTTTCGCAATGACACATCAAGTCATTCCGCTCACAGCCTTCCCGTGCACGCACTGGCATAATAATAATCATGATTACTATTCTCATTACTCTTATCAGCATTATTATTAATATTATTATTACAAGTACGATTATTATTACTAGTATTGTGATAATTAACCGTCGCACACTTTATATAATAATAATAATAATACTAATAATAATAATAATAATATAATAATAACTATAAGAAGAAGAAGAAGAATGCTAAGATTAGTAATAAGAAGAAAAGAATTACAATAATCATAATCAATAACAAAATAATGATAATAAGAATGATAATCATAATAAGAATAATGCTATGAATAAGAATGATGATAATAATGATGATGATAATAACAACCTAAACAATAATGAGAATAGTAATTAGGGTAAAAGTAATCATCATAATAAGAATGACAATCATCATGACGGCGTGAACATGCAACTTCGGAGGCCCGCGCAGACTTCCTGGACCCGTACCGGAGCCACGCCCTCTGCGAGCGCGAGCGCGCCAGGGGCGTCGTCGGAGGCGCCGCCAGGGAGGGGGGCCAAGCGCAGCTCCAAGAAATCCGCGCGGGCCTCCTCCTCCTCCTCCTCCTCCTCCTCCTCCTCCTCCTCCCCCTCCTCCCCCTCCTCCCCCTCCTCTTCCTCTCCTCTTCACCCTCCTCCTTCGACGCCGGCGCTGGCGTGGCCGCCGCGTCCAGACGTCGCGACGCGGCCGCACTTCCCAGACATGCCAGGTCTTAACTGCTTCAGCACGTGGTTCCAGAGGTCCCGACACCCTTGCTCCGGAACAGGTCTTCCATCCCGAGTCGTGTTCTGACAGTCCCGAGGCCTGGCGAAGGACCCCCGAGGCCCAAATGGCCAAAAACCTCCTGTCGTGATTTTTGTTGTTCAAGTTGCGGGCGTTCGACCATTCACGCCCGCGCTGGCGCCGCCGCCGCGCCCAGACGTCGCGAACTTGCAGCGCTTTCCCTGAGATCCGACGTTGGAAAAGACTTGCGGCGTCGCGAGAAGTCTCGACCAGAGCTCTCGACCCAACCGTCCTGCGCCATTTTCCGAGGCTGGTCGAGCTGTGATGGCCCCAGGGCCCGAAACTGGGCGCGAGAGCACCGGCGGGGCAAGGATGCAACGCCCGGATCTCCGGCAGGGACGTCGCGAAGCTGCCGCTCCCGGGGAGGAGGAGGGGAGGAGGAGGAGGAGGAGGAGGAGGAGGAGGAGGAGGAGGAGGAGGAGGAGGGAGGAGAGGAGGAGGAGGAGAGGAGGAGGAGGAGGAAGGAGGAGGAGGAGGAGGAGGAGGAGAGAGGAGGAGGAGGAGGAGGAGGGGAGGAGGAGGGGAGAGGGAGAGGGAGGAGGGGAGGAGGAGGAGGAAGGAGGAGGGAGGAGGAGGAGGAGGAGGAGGAGGGAGGAAGGAGGAGGAGGAGGAGGGAGGAGGGAGGAGGAGGAGGAGGAGGAGGGAGGAGGAGGAGGAGGAGGAGAGGAGGAGGAGAAGGAGGAGGAGGAGGGGGGGGAGGGGGAGGGGAGGGGGAGGGGGAGGGCCCGCCTGCTGCTCAGGGCGCGCTTCACCTCGAGGCGCACCCCGCCCCCGGGCTCTAGAAACCTGGAGAACGACTCGCCCAGCAGCCTGGTCGGCGGAGAGCGCTGGCGGCGCGGAGGAGGAGGGGGAGGAGAAGGAGGAGGAAGAGGAGGAGGAGGAGGAGGAGGAGGAGGAGGAGGGGGAGTAGGAGGAGGGGGAGGAGGAAAAGGAGGAGGGAGCAGGAGGAGGAGAAGGAGGAGAAGGACCAGTGCAAACCCAAGACGCATCAACGATGTAGCACTATACCCTCCCTTCATTCAAATCGAATTTCATAGGTTTCCACTAGAACTCATTGCCACTGCGGGAAGGGCCCCGTTAGAAGACAACCGTCTGAGAATCCTCGCCCATGCCGAAACACCATTCCTGGAACTTCAATGCCGCGAACTAACGTTACTGTTGCGTCACCACGATCCTGAATCTTGCCAGAACATTATTTCTGGGGCAATTCGTGCCGGAACCAAAAATCGGGGACATCAACCATAATGATACCGGAGAAAAAACCATCATAATCTTTTCAGAGCTTTAAGGCTATAGGGCTATTGGGCTATAGGGCTATAGGGCTGTCGGGCTATAGGCCACAAGCCTATAGGGCGAAAGGGCGATAGAGCACCCGGGCACCCGGGCACCCGGGCACCCCTGGGCATCTCCGCGGGCACCCCTGGGCATCATCTCCGGGCACCCCCGGGCACCTCCGGGCACCCTCGGGCACCCGGGCACCCCCGGGCACCCCGGGGCACCCCGGGGCACCCCCGGGCACCCCCGGGCACCTGGGCACCCCCGGGCACCTCCGGGCACCCGGGCCGGCCACCGAAATCGGCGGCCCACCTCACCTAATCAGGTGAGTCCGCTAGGACCCCTACGGAGGCAAGCTCGGATCGGGAAAAAAACGGAGGCGCGCGGCACAGAGGCGAGAACCACATTCTGAGAACGGCCCGCCTCCCATCCGTGAGACTCCTGCAAAGCTTTTGGCACGAATGCGCGCGGCACAAAGGCGAAAAACATAGTTTGACAACCAGACGCCCTCCATCCGTGAAGGTCTTGCAAACTTTGAGAAACGAATGTGCGCGGCGCTACAGCGATAACCACATTTTGAAAACAACCCGCCCTCCATCCGTGAAGCTCGGGTATGCTTTCAAGACGAGTGTGCGCGGCGCTAATGCGATGGCCACATTTTGAAACCGATCCGCCCTCAATCCGCGCAGCTCTTGCGAATTGTTTGTAAATTTCACATACATAAATGGTGAGGAGGTCTCAAGCGAAAGGCCCAGCCCGCGCAACAGAGAGGAGTTATGCATGAGGAAAAAGATGGTGGAGGGGAAGGAGGAGGAGGAGGAGGAAGAGGAGGAGGAGAATAAGGATAATGAGGAGGGGCAGGGGCAGGAGGAGGCGGAAGAGGAGGAGGATGAGGAGGAGGATAAGAAAGAGGTCGAAGAGGATGAGGAGAAGGAGGAAGAGGAAGAGGGAAAGCAAGCAGCAGGAACAGTAGATGTGGCATAAGGGTGATGATGATGATGATGAGGAGGAGGAGGAGGAGGAGGAGGAGCCAGCAGTAGGAGGAGGAGCAGCAGCTGCAGCGGAGGAGAAGGAGGAGGAGGGACGATGCTGATGATGATGCTGCTGATGGTGGTCGTGGTAATGATGTTGATGATGATGATGATGATGATGATGATGATGATGATGATGATGATGATGATGATGATGGTGATGATGATGATGATGATGATGATGCTGATGCTGATGCTGATGCTGATGCTGATGATGATGCTACTGCTGATGCTGATGATAATAATAGTAGTAGTAATAATGATGATAATAATAATAAGTATAATAATAACAATAATTATGAATAATAATAATAATGAGTGGTAATAAACATAAGAAGAATAAGACTAAGAATAAGAATAAGAATAATAATAAGAATAATAATGATAATGATGATGATGATGATGGTGGTGGTGATGATGATGATGAGGAGGAGGAGGAGGAGGAGAAGGATGAAGGTGATGTATGCCTGTCGGCGGCGCCCGAGTCGCGGAAGACGACGTAGCCGAAGCCGCGGTGCTGCTTGTGGTGCTTCTCGCTGCGATGTCGCTGGAGCCACACCCGCTCCACCTGCGGGAACAAGGAAAAGCAGGGTTTCCGTTTACACAGACAGCGTAACCACAGCTGCGATGGGTTTTTTTCGGTACTGCCAGAGCAACGGCCTACCTCGCTGCTTTTGCGGGCGGTCGCGCCCGCCCCTTCGCTTCCTCCGAGTGATAGGGCTCGGCATCGACTCCTCCTCGTCGTCGTCATCGTCGTCGACCTCCTCCTCCTCCTCCTCCTCCTCCTCCTCCTCCTCCTCCTCCTCCTCCTCCTCCTCCTCTCCCCCCCCCCTCCTCCTCCTCCTCCTCCTCCTTCTCCTCCTCCTCCTCCTCCTGCTTCCTCCTCCTCCACAATTACTCAATATGAATACTACTCTCCCTCTTCCCCTGATGGCGTGCTGGGAGTAGCCGACCCCCCCCCCCGCGTCCTGCTTTTTTACACACAAGATTCCCGGAGTTGGGTTTTCGCCTGCATTTTTTTCAAAATGCTGCTCTCGCTGAGGCGCCGGCCTCATTTTCGGGCCCCGCTCGTTCCGAATCGTGCTCCCGCTGCAGCGCTGGCCTCATTTCCGTGCTTCCGCTCGTTCCGAATCGTGCTCCCGCTGCAGCGCTGGCCTCATTTCCGCGCTTCCGCCCGTTTCGACTCGTGCTCCCGCTGCAGCGCTGGCGTCATTTCCCGTGCCATGCCACAGCACACGCGCACACACGCACACACACACACACACCACCACCACCACCACCACCACCACCACCACCACCACCACCACCACCACCACCACCACCACCAGCACACCACCACACCACCAGCACCAGCACCATCACCACCACCACCACCACCACCACCACCACCCCACACCACGCACACACGCACGCACGCACGCACACGCGCACCACCACCCACTACGCACGCGCGCGCGGAGCCACAGGTCCGCTACGACACGCGTCCGCGGATAGAGAAAATCAGCGCCATGGTAAGGGATGGGAGGGAGGGGTAGGACGTCAGATATGACGCGAGCGCACCTAGCTTGTCCTTCCCCCTCCCCCTTCTCCTCCTCCTCCTCCTCATCCTCCTCCCTCCTCCTCCTCCCCCTCCTCATCCCTTCTCCTTATGATCAGCGTCTCCCCGTCGCGCCCCGGGACGTGTCAATAGGGCGGGCTGGGCGCTTCGCCTGAGAATCCCTCATCATCTATGATCTTGGAGCTTGCTACCGGCAACCGCTTGAGGCATGGAATGCGAGCCGTTTTCAAAATGTGGTTCTTGCAGTAGCGCCGCGCACGTGAGTCTCAAAGAAATGGCAAGAGCTTCGCGAATGGAGGGCGGGTCGTTTTAAAAGTGCAGCTCTGAGCTTCACGGAGGGGCGGCGGGTGGTTTTCAAAATGTCGGCCCAGCCTTAGCACCTCGCACACTCGCCTTAAACATGTGCAAGATGTTCGCGGATGGAGGGCAATTGTTTTTTATGTGGCTCTCGCGCCATGGTCGCGCATATTCGTCCTTAACGTTTGCTAGAGCTTCACGGATGGAGGGCAGTTCATTCTCTCTAGTTTGCGCTGCGTACATTCGTTTTAAAAAGCTAATAGCAGCTTCAAGGCGTCTTCTGGTTGAGGTTCCAGAGACTGCGTTCTGGCACGAATGAAAGCTGATAGGGCACAACAGTCAAGTCGATTCGCGGTGTTGAGATATCAGAGATGATGTGCCGGCATGGCTCGGGATCGTCAGGACGCAACAGTAATGTTGCTTCAAGGCGCTGACGTCCCAGGGATGGTGTTGCGGCACGGCGGAACTTGGATGGAGGGCCTGTTGCAACGTCGTGAATGCGTCTTGGGCTTACACGGGTCCTCCTACCCCTCCTCCTCCTCCTCCTCCTCCTCCTCCTCCTCCTCCTCCTCCTCCTCCCGATCCTGCGCGTCTACCCAAACCGTGGATAAAATGCACAGCACCAGCAGGAATGCACGCTGGCACGAGATGTCAATCGAAGCGAGCGATCCTCGCCTGCGACCCTCCAGAAGCTGAAAAAGGAGCACTATGTACTAGGAGAGGGGAGATGAGAGGGAGAATGATGGGTGGAGGAGGGGGCAGGAGGAGCAGAGGGGAAGGAGGAAACGGAGCCATGGAGAAGGAGGAGGCGAAGGAAGAGGCGAATGAGGAGGACTTGTTTATACATCCACGGCCAAAGACCACACCTGGATGTGGCAAACTGACCCGAGCAAAGCACCCTGCTAGCAGCAAGCATGAAGACTCGAGTGAAACGGCCAAACGGCTGCTGGGAGTGCTCTATAGTCATCAAGCGCAAGGAAGTCCAAAACGAAACGGCCGCTGGGACTCTAAGCGCGGGAAGGCCTAAACAAAACGGCTGCTGGGACTCTTCAGTAGTTATAAGTTGTGAGAGAATCGAATTCGAAACGGCCGCTGGGACTCTTCTGTGGCGGTTACTGGCGAGGACGTCTCAGACGTGTCCAGGTCACCCAGAGATGTCTCTGACATGGTTGTCCCGAGCTGAAGCCACGTGACTTTACGTATCCAAGGCACGCAAGAGGGTGTCCAACAGGGGGGGGATTCGATACCCGACTATGGATAGCTAACGTATGTGTCCTGAGCTGGAATCACGTGTTGTTGCGTGTCCATGCCATCCGAAGGGGTCTCTTACATGGCTGCCCCGAGCTGAGAACATGCATGCTGCGTGTCCAGGCCGCCCAAGAAGGGTATCTAAGGTGGTTGTCCCGAGCTGGAACCACGTGCTCTGGTTCTAAGAAATTCTCAAGCGAACCGGCTGCTGGGAGCCTTCTGAAGTCATACATTGTGAAAGCTATCCAGCGAAACGGCTGCTGGAAGTCTTCTTTGGTTATAAGGTGTGAGAGCATCTCAGGCGACTCGGAAGTCTTAGGCGGAATCGGCCTCTGGCCGCGATTACAGTAGAATATCCTCGGGCTACCCAATCCCGTGGCACTCCTCGGTGATCCGATCTACCCCTGCTAGAACCGTCTAGCGAAACGCCATTACGGAAAGATGCAGCTCGCTCTTGCCAGGCTGCCCGCATGAACCAGCCCCGTGGGCTGAGAGGCGGGTGCAAAATGGTCCCTGGGAGAGCGCCACTGGACAGAGACCCGCCAAGAGGGAGCCAGAGGAGGAGGGAGGAAGAGGAGGCTGGGGAGGATGGGAGGACAAGGGGGGAGGGGGGAGTGACAGGGGACGGGAAGAAGGCGGGGAGAGGAGATGGGAGGGAGGAAATGCGGAGGAGGAGGGGGGAGGAGGAACGCACGTCCATAGGGAGCGCCCTGGGTTACTGCTTCGTGAGTGCCAGGTGGCGTATCGAAAGTTGGAAGTTGTAGTTGCCGAGCAAATGAGGGGATTGCACGAGCTCGGCACGAAGTTCATGGAAGATCGTGTAGGCCCGTGCCACACGATCATGAGCTACATTCGCAAACACATCGGTATTATCACGCCCCTCCTTTGATCCGAGGCCAAGCCAGAGGAAATGAGGAGAGGTCGGGATCTGTAATCTGGTGAAGGAGATGAGAACAGGCGATGTAGTGAGTGACGAACCGGGGGAGTGTGGACAGCCGAACCAGCAGGTCCTGGGCGCGAGGACCTTGACCCTATGGCAGGTGATCCATCCCCCAGCGAGGGTTTTCAAATGGGCCCAACTTTTACAAGGCGTTGTGCGGGCCAGCGCCCAGAGCCACCGCCGTCGGCCCTCCTCCATCGAGAGCTCGGGGTGGCCGCCCGGGAACCAGGACTCGGACGGCGGGCGACGAGCCCGTGCAGACGGTCTGGAGCAAGAAGCTCCGTTGACTCGGCAGTGAAGGCGCCATGCGGTTGCTGCCCCCCTTTCCACGACGGCGACGACCTCCCCGTCTCGATCGGCGGGGCGGCACCTCCGTCCTGCCGCTCGCGAGGGCGAGCCACGCCCCATTTGCACGAGCCTGGCCTCGCCGGGGAGCGCTTCCCCGCGGGTGGACAAGACAACAACCGACCCATTTCGCACAAAATGGGTAGTGTTTTGCTTCGGCGGCAGTGACGGCTTGCCGGATCGCCGCAGGTGAGACAAAGAGAGAGGAAGAGAGAGGGAGAGAGAGAGAGAGACCCCTGCACCCTCGCACAAACATGCGATAGTAGTGGACGATTCCGTAAGGATGTGGCCAGCACTTTGCCAGCAAGCAACTGGCTTCCCTCGTGCACGCGAAAACCGCGGACGCCGCCCCGACACACCACTACTCCCAGCCCCGCTCCCACCCTTTCGCAGGAAAGGCAGATGCGCGCTACCTGTGCGCTATCCACGGCATACACCTGCACGCTCGTGAGCGCTGCGCAACGCATCCAACTCCTGAGGCTGAAGATAGCATGCGAAGGGAAAGAGCTAGGAGGGAGACGCAACAACTTGAGCAACGCGTAATATTCCTTCCGCTTGATCTCGTAGCAGAGCGGGAAACACCGAGCTGTGTAGCCGGACACGGTCAGGCATGTGCACTCCTACAGTCGGATTGCGGCTTCGCTCGGGGCCCTCGGAGACGCGATGGCCCTGGCGCGAGGAGGGGGAAGGGGAGGAGGAAGAGGAGAATACTGAAGAGAAAGAGCAGGAGAAGCAGGAGGAGAGAGGAGGGGGAAACGGGAGGGAGGAAGAAGGCTTCCCTTCCCCTCCCCCAACCAGGTTTTGCCTGCGTGGTTGTTGTGATTCGAAGATCTGGTGGGTGCTCGGCCTGCACCAGCCAGCATTCCCCGTAGACCTTGGTCTTGATTCCCTGGTTTCTTAGTCTTGGTTCCTTGCCGCCTTCCTCGGGCTCCTTGGTCTTGGCCCCTTGATTATTTAGTCTTGGTTCCTTGGTTCCTCGGTCTTGCCTCCTTGCTTGCTCGGTTCATTGGTTCCTTGGCTCCTTGGTACCTTGTTCCTCGGTCTTGGCTCTTCACAGCCTCGCCACATATCGCCAAGCAATGCCAAACAATGCCAAGCAATGCCACGCAATACCAAGCAATGCCAAGAGATGCCACGAAACACCACGCAATGGCACGCAATGCCACTCAATGCCGAGCAATGCCGCGCAAACGCAAAGCAATGCCAGGCGACGCCATGCCAAGCAACACGCCCAGCACTACGCCAAGGAAGCACGCCAAGCAGTGCCAAAGAATGCCGAGCAAAGCGCCGCAGCGCGCCCGTGCAACGAGAAGCGTTCCCCGCTCGGGGTCGCGCCAGGTTCACTCGAGTCGACGCGGGGCACGGCTGTGCACGTGCCTCTGCGGGCCCCCGAGGGCGGAAAACTCGACGGGGCAGAGCCTTCGAGCAAGAGCGCGGGCGGGCCTCCGACTGGGCCGACCGGTGCCCCAGGATGGATCCGCTCCTCCTCCTCCTCCTCCTCCTCCTCCTCCTCCTCCTCCTCCTCCTCCTCCTCCTCCTCCTCATCCTCCTCCTCCTGCTGCTGCTGCTGCTGCTGCTGCTGCTGGCTGCTCCTCTTCCTCCTCCTCCTCCTCCTCCTCCTCCTCCTCCTCCCTCCTCCTCCTCCTCCTCCTCCTCCTCCACCCTCCTCCTCCTCCTCCTCCTCCTCACTCCTCCTCCTCCTCCTCCTCCTCCTCCTCCTCCTCCTCCTCCTCCTCCTCCTCCTCCTCCTCCTTCTCCGTCTCGGCGAGGGCTTGGGGAGGTTGTCGAGCAGAGACCCGCAGAGCACCGACAGAGTTGCCAGCGCGTGCTGCTCCGGGAGCCTGGAACGTTGGCGATGACGGCCCGATTTGCAGCACATTGCACGGAGGAGGAGGAGGAGGAGGAGGAGGAGGAGGAGGAGGAGGAGGAGGAGGAGGGAGAGGAGGAGAAGGAGGAGGAGGAGGAGGGGGATGATGATGATGATGATGATGATGATGATGATGATGATGATGATGATGATGATGATGATGAAGATGATGATGATGATGATGAGATGATGATGATGAGGATGATGATGATGATGATGATGATGATGATGATGATGATGATGATGATGATGATGATGATGATGATGATGATGATATGATGAGATGATGATGATGATGATGATGATGATGATGATGATGATGATGATTATGATGAATGATGTTGATATGATGATGATTGATGATGATGATGATGATGATGATGATGATGATGATGATGATGATGATGATGATGATGATGATATGAGGAGGAGGAGGAGGAGGAGGAGGAGGAGGATGAGGAGGAGGAGGAGGAGGAGAGGAGGAGGAGGAGGAGGCGGAGGTGGAGGCGAGGCGTGGCGACGTCGATCTGACCTCCCTCCCAATTTGCCGTCCTGGCCAAGAGATCTGTTCTCGTTGCCGCCACCGCGTCATCTGGGGTGCAGATGTCCCTCGTAGCGGCGTCGCTCCAAAGGTGTCCCACCGAATGCGTGGGTCGTCGACCTCGAACGTGCGCTTCGCGAGGTCCTTTGCTTTGCTCTACTGCCAACCAATGACACAGCCGAGGAGGTCGTCGGGATCGTCGGCGAGACGCTCCTTTTCATCAGCAGCGGCCGGGTCGCCATGATAAATACTAAGAACTGTAGAATGCTCGCTCGATCCCCAAGTACGCTGCCTCCGCAATGCCAGGACCCCTCAGCCTGGTCGTGAGGAGAGAACAAGTGCAAGAAGGCGCTATCCCTGCGCATTTCCAAATCATTGGATGCTGACGATCGTGATGATGATGATGCTGATGATGATGATGATGATGATGATGATGATGATGATAATGATGATGATGCTTATTATTATGATGATCGAAGTAATGACGGCGACGATGATGCTGCTGCTGCTGCAGGTGATGATGATGATGATGATGATGATGATGATGATGCTGATGGTGATGATGATGCTGATGATGATGATGCTGCTGCTGATGATGATGATCTGGACACGTCTGGGTGCCCGAGGTTGAGCTGCAGTCTGGGATTCGCACTGGCGGCGGCCTAGCAGCCGAGGGCGGCGACGGTGGCGTCCGCGGCCCGCAGCGCGACGACGATGATGACGACCACGATGATGATGATGATGATGTTTATGATGATGATGATGAGGAGGAGGAGGATAAGTATGATAATATGATGACGATGCTGATGATGATTGTTCTGGTGGTGGAGATGATGGTGATAATGATGATTATTATTAGGATGACGACGACGATGATGTTGATGATGATGGTGGTGATGATGATGATGCTGCTGATGCTGATGATGATGATGGTGGCGGTGATGATGCTGATGATGATGATGATGATGATGATGATGATGATGATGATGGTGATGATGATGCTGATGATGATGATGAGGAGGAGGAGGAAGAGGAGGAGGAAGAGGAGGGGGGGAGGAAGCGGACGATAGCGACGACGACGACGACGACGACGACGACGACGACGACGACGACTACCACCAGCATGACGACGACAAGGATGACCACCACCACCACCACGACCATGACCGCACCCACGCCCACGCCCACGCCCACGACGACGGCAACGGAGGAGGGCTGGGCTTCCCGGGACCTGAGCGTACCGCTCGAAGATCGCCTGCAGCTCGTCCTCGCCCATCCCCTGCGGCACGCCGCCCACGAAGAGCTTGCGGACCTGCCGGGCTGGAGGCAGGGCGGGGAGGAGGGCAGCGGGGCCTGCCTTGGCCGGCGGTTCGAACACGGGGCCCCAGGGATGGGGCCCTGAGGAAGGGAAGGGATCCCAGGTGGAACTCGTATCTTGTAAGGCCCCTCGCCCTTGAGGCAGAGATGGGGTGAGGGATCGCCGATGTTGCCCGTGCCGCCCCCCTTCCCCTCCTCTCCTCCTCCCTCCCTCCCTCCTCCTACCTCCCTCGCTCAGCGCTCCCTCCCTCCCTCCCTCCCCCCAGGCGTGGCTGCGCCGGCGTGATCGGTCCAGGCGTACAACAGGTGCACCTGCTACGATGCTTCCCAAATGCTTTCCTCCGGTGACATTCTAAAGGTACTGTCGCCGTGCATGCTCGTCCCGTGTTCTGTATCGGTCAAGCAGCCAGCGCGCTTGCTGAGAATCTGAGCGCGAGCTGGGCACCGTGGCCAGGCTCGGGGAGGCCCTTGGGGTGTCCTTGGGGGCGCCGAGCCCGCTTCGAGCGGGATGGGGGCGAGGGGGTGTCCAGCGACTCGATTTTCGTTGATTCACTGGTTGTCCATCCCGAAATGTTTCTTGACGGTCCCAGGGTCCAAAAGCAGACCCCATATGCCGAACCTGAACACACCTACATATGGCATGCTTTTTCCAGTGGCCAGAAATATCCTGCTCCTCGTCCTCCTCCCCCTCCTCCTCCTCCTCCTCCTCCTCCTCCTCCTCCTCCTCCTCCTCCTCCTCCTCCTCTCCTCCTCCTCCTCCTCCTGCTCCCCTTCCTGCTTTTCCTCCTGCTTTTCCTCCTCCTCCTCCTCCTCCTCCTCCTCCTCCTCCTCCTCCTCCTCCCCCTCCTCCTCCTCCTTCCTCCTCCTCCTCCTCCATCGGAGGGCAAAGTCGGATCAGAGTGAATCTCCTGGCCCCTGACGGAAGGCATCCTGGCCACGCAATGGCCCCTGGAGGTCCACGGGACAACCCGAAGCCTCCGAAAACGCCCAATCGGGGGTGGATCGAAACCCCTTTCGCAAAACACCCTCTGTTGGCGGGGGGAAGGCTTCTTAGAAGCAGGGGTGCTCCTGAGAAGCCGTTCCCCCTCCCCCATACCCCCCTTGTGCGCGTGGCCGACTCTAGTGAAAACGACCCGGGACAAAACCTGATGGTGGACGCAGGACCGCAAACAATGCGGCCGCAACGCTGTCCCGAGAGCCGAAGTTGGGCAATGCGCTGATCGTCTTGGCAGGGTGGGGGTTCTACGATCAGGAACTTTTGCTCAGCGTGTCGCGGCGGCGGCGGCCGCAAGCTGTGTAGCGTGTCGCTCCGCGCCGCGCGGCGGGAGGCTGGGAAAAACTGGGAACATTGACGCGTTGGGACTGGGAAATGGTCTTCGTGTCGCGCCGGAGCGTGCCGGGCAAAGGTGCGACACGCTAAGCCAAAACTCCTGACCGTATCCCCACCTGGGAGGAGGGAAACATCCGTGGTTTTCGGGTCATAGCTCCTCCCTCCGTGGCCGTTCGGGACGACTCGGGCACCCCGGGAACGCTCTCGGCAAGGCGCAGCTGCTAGAGAGCATCCAGCTGGAAAGCCACCGAGATCGAACGAAAATGTCCGAGACACGCTAAGTCAAGTTTCCGACGGCATCACCCCCCGAATCCGAGGATCGAGGTCTGGTGTGCGGCGGCCGAGCGACCACTGGTGACAACGAGCGGAGGACATCTCCGCATGCGCGCCCTCGCGGCCTGGATTCCGGGGCGCGATACTGCAGATACGCGGTCGCACGGATAGAGCCTGTTTTTCTTAGAGTCCAGCAATTGCACTTGCATGGAAGGAGGTGCGGGCTGAACTTGAAGCGAGCCGCAAACGACTTGCACGTGCGGAGAGCACGCAAGTCGAGAGGCGCTTGCACGATAGTTTTCACTTGAGGAGGGGCGAGGGGAGGAGGGGGGGGGCGAACACCATGCAAATAAACTTGCCTGGGTCGACAAAAAAACGGTTCATACGCCCCGCGCGGGGCATCCGCGAGTCGCGGCCCAGGGGCCCGGCCGGCGACGCCGCGGATACGGATACGAGGAGGAGGAGGAGGAGGAGGAGGAGGAGGAGGAGGAGGAGGAGGAGGTGGGATGAGGAGGGGG